TCGAATCACGAAATAATAATTGAAAAACGTTAAAAAGAATGTTTGTCGCAGAAACATTTAATGTTGTGAAGAATTAGAAACTTCCGAGTTTTGTCCTCACTTTTCTGTTTATTACTTCAAATTTTTTGCTTGTTTTTTTTATAAGATATAATAGTTTGCTAAAATATGATTAATAAGGATATTTCATTAAAAATTTCTTCTGAATTTGATATTTTACCTGGATATGCTTAATTTTTTACTTCTCTTGCTCGCATACCTTTCTTATTAAAATTCTCTGCTACTTCTCGACAGAATTAAATCAGGACTTGCAGTTCGTAATTTTAAATTAAATCATTATAAACCACTTTTAGTTGAAATTACTGTATGAACTATAATATCATTTTACTGAAAAATAATTTTTCATTAGCATCATAAATAGAACTAAATGATCATATAATGTATCTTAATATTTGATGGGTCATATGTATTTTATAATTAAAATAATTATTTCATTGTTTACATTGTTCTCCACAACCTTTCAAACCGTTCGTCATCTTCTGCAGCCATTCAATTAGCTGCCTCGAGGCACAATGCAGAAAAGAGGAACGCGTTTAAATATCAAATGAAACGCGACGGTGGTATAATTAATTTATTACATACGCTGCATACTGAATTGATTAAAGTCATTAAATACAAAAGGAATCGCGAGTTCGTACTCTCTCAAACATTCAAACAGAATCGCAACCAACGATTTTTTTCTTTCGATGTTCTTAGATTGCAGCACATACGTGACGTTTATAAACTTTTATTTTGCAATAGAAATGAGAATATACGATGTTCGTTTCAAATAATATTTACAGTGCAAAGATATGTCTGAGTCTATAAATGTTTTCATTACCTACTCTATTTTCATTCTACGTTCATCTTTTCGAAGGAAATGCTTAATAAGAAGTGGGATTAAGAACTTTATGATGATCGTTTCTAGTTCCGATCATGGGCCTCTTGCGTCACCGCCGATGTTGGAACCTATATCTTCGCCACAAAAATCGCCCGCGCATTTGTCGGACGGAGCACCACCGCCATTGACCTCGGCTGTCCTAGCTATGCCGAGATGTAACGTAAACTTGGTGAAACTGGGTGAGCCAAGAAGTCACATTAAACTGTTGGACAGTATACCAAGCATTCCGATCCCCGTCCCGCCAGTCGTCTCACCGATTACTGTTCTACCATCGAGCAAAACATCGCAAGACGACGATGAGAAAAGCACTGGAGGGGTGAGTTGCAACGAGCCATTGCCATTATGCTGCAGTGTGTAGGAATCTAGATACGTGGGATTTGTTTAGATATCAATTTCAATCATATACTCGAATCAAGTAGAATTTCTGGGAATAAAAGTTTTGTCGTCGTTTTTTTTCAATTTTTCGATAATATCGAGAAATATTCTGTTTACGATCATTACGGTCGGTTATTTATAGATTTTTTTTTAAAAATCTTAAAGCTTTCTTTGATGATAAATTTTCGAAATAAATGAGGAGTGAGTTCGTACGTAACGAGTTATTAGAAATAGAACACCTAAATATCTCTGGTAAAATTCGAGGTTGTATAAGAGTGCTGTTACATAGGTGTAATTGAATCTTTTATTCGACGTTACTTTCAATACTACTTGTAAATTTCTGATATTTTGTTTTAAATGGTATCATGTACCTTTAATTTTGAACGTTATTTCTTGTGAATCTCTGTATCTGATTAAACATGTTTCTCAATGAATTTCTCATAAAATAATAAATATGTGCATATTGCCTGCTCGATACGGGAATATCGTGTTCATCGACAGGAAAGCAGTAATTTAACGCAGTAATGCGCACACGTTATGTTTTCAATATTTGAATGGGTTGTCTAGAGGAAAGGCCTCTATTACAAATTTTTCGAAAACTGTTTTTATGATAACAGGATGAAATTTAATGTAAAGAACAGTTCTACAAAGTTTTGTTTTCTAATTAATATTCTAGACATCAATTATGCATAAAAGAAAAGTGAACATTGATGACTGCATGGAAAAATGACTTGTATTACAGTTGATATACCAAATCTTAATAATTCACCGATTTTGCACAAAAATTGATTGCCTATCAGCGAACAGAAAAACAGGACTTGCTTCAATTTTGTGCTTTTAAAAAGTAATAAATTACTAAATTATTGTGTTATTATTTTTATATTTCAATTTGGAAAAATAGCATATGTTACACCAGCCATCTAAAATTTACAATATCTAACATAGGTCTTTCTAGACACCAGTTCATTTACAATTACTTGCAAAAACTGTATATTGTTATCGTTATCGACACATTATCATAGCTTATACATTACCCGCAAACATTATACCTATTATTGCAATCAGGAAAATAACATGATACCCAATAAACAGTGATTCATAAATAACATGTTTACAGTTGGGGTATGATACCTCGTCACCGGCGCCAACCGTGGCGAGTTCGAGTTCCGCCTCGAAAAAACGGAAGGTCGGTCGGCCTAGGAAGCTGATGTGCACGTCTGGAAGTGTGAGACACCTTACGGAGACAATAGTCGCGAAGAAACCTAAAAGCAAGAGTTCACTAGGATACCTCCTGTCGTCGAAGAACAGACATCTCCAAGCGAAAGTAAGTACACCACTTGCGACAGCTGTTTGCTAACATAGAAAATGCATTTTTAAACATAACAATTAACAATTTACAATTAACAATTTTTAAACGTAACAATTCGTTTGCAGTACGTGAGTAAAACTGCGTACACTCCTCTGCCCTTTAAGGGCGGAATCTCCACGATGAAATCATCGTCAAAGAATCACAAGTCTGCGAAATTAAAACCGAAGCCCGCGAAACAGACGCCGCTGCACAACAAGAATGTGATCAGTTCGATACTCGCGGAGAAGGCGAAATTGAGCCAAGAGCTAAAGCTAGAGAAGCAGAGTAAGATGAAGCCTAAACTGAAGACGGAGGTGAAGGTGAAAACTTGGGAGGATGATGAGCCTAGCAGCGTTTTGGAGAACGTGTTGCCCGAATCTGCCCCAGAGGAACCAATAAAGGTAACGTGACAACTGACGTGTCAGTAATATTGAGGTGCACATCCTGCGTTAATACTACAGGGGAATATAAATATTAATCAGTTAACTGCGTTCGACGAGTATACACGTCATCTTAAAGCTTGAAATGATACTGATTCTTTCAAGGATGAATTCTCACATAAACGTGTAATTTTCCTTTGTTTTGCTTTGGTTTGTTATTAAAATATTCGTCATTCGTCCTGTGTCTGACGAGTATACATTTTATTTCTTCATTTTCTTGAAACTATATTCCATGGTTAACAGGTTAACTCTTTGCAGTCGAATATCGTCATAATGACGACTTTAAATATTTTTCTTTTCTCATATTTAAAATTATACATTGTTCAATTTTTTATAGAAAGAATTTTTAAAGATTGGGAAAGTTCTCGTCCGCAAAGGGTGAAATTGATGCAAAAGTTTTGACGTTTTTTTTGTAAGACAGATGTAAGACAGATTTTAATAGTTAGAAAACATTTGTTATTTCTTTCGAAGAAATTGGATTTTAGTAGTTAGAAAACATTTGTTATTTCTTTCGAAGAAAAAAATTTGTTTGTGAATCACGTACAAAAAACGTCAAAATTTGTGCACCAACCCAATATAAATACATAAAGTGATACACAAATGTATTTCATGAATTTATATTATATATGTCTCTCAGTCGGCAATTGATTTAACGCAGGAAAATTGTAAAGTACAATATTCAATATTAAATTTTGTATGATGCATCACGATATGAAATATTAAAATAAAATAATTCTGTTCCTCAATTTACGTGCGCTTTCTCGTCAAGTCAGCTTCACAAAATGTCGTTTGTATCTCATTAGAAGATATTCTGTATTTCCAAAAAGACACTTCTAAGGTACAAAGGCTTAAGACCGCTTTAAATATTGAATGAATAAACCAGTACAATACAATATTCGTCAAATGAAGAGATTGACACTAAAACAACCAGACACATAATAACCCATTCCTAATTTCTTCCTTTTGCAATTATTAAAAATATAACAGACGTACCTCTGAGAAATCATTAAAGCAATAAATTTAGCAATACGCAAACTGAATTGTAAATCAATTCAGGTCTAAATAGATGCACTCTTGGAGTTCCTATAAAGAAATGTCAAAAAATCAATTTAACTATTCGGCAGTTTTAGCGTCGAATAATATATATAACACATATCTGTACTTCAGGAACTCCCGGTGGAGACGCCAGAGAGCTTGGACGCCGAGTGCGAGAGAAGCAGGCATGAGAAATCGAAGAAGAAGAAACGGAAGTCGAGCTTGTCGTCGCCGTCCAGGCACAAGTCGAGCGACCGCGAAAAGAAGGAATCGAAACGCAGAAAATCGGTCGAGTGCAAAGAGTGCAAGGAATGCGCGAAAGCGGCGAAGGCCGAGAAGCCTGAGAAGACCGAGAAGCCCGAGAAGACGGAAGTCGTCAACAAGTGCAAATTAACGTCGGCACACTTGGCCATTGACCAGCTGAGGGTTCTTACTGCGATGGGCGGGCTATTTTATGCGGGGAGACTCAGCGCCGTTCAAGCGCCTGACGTTTATGCCATCACGCTGGACGGCGAACGAGGCAATAGACCCCACATCCATTCCAGGGAAGAGATTCTACGGGACGCGGTAATTCACCGTTGATTCATTTCGCTTTTTGTTCGCGCGACGATTTTTCTGCCGGCGAGATTTGCTGATTTCTTGCGCGTTCCGCTGCCGCAGATAGTGGAAGTCTGCCCCGCCTCCACGAAAGAGTTACCGCCTGGTACGCGATTATGCGCCTACTGGAGCCAGCAGTATCGTTGCCTCTACCCAGGCACTTCCGTTGAACCGACGGAACCGGATCCAGAGCTTGACGAAAAGTTTGTCAGCGTGGAATTCGATGATGGGGATAGCGGAAGGATTGCTCTGGACGATATCAGGTTGCTGCAGCCAGATTATCCTGTTGTTGGTAAGACTGATTCAGGTTCACCGTTAGCACATTAACGTTTTGGCAGCGGGAATTCTTGTTTTGAAGAAATAAGCGTTGTCGTTGTGAACGAGGATTCTTGTTTTTCGATGGGAACGTGTTAAGATACTAGATTATATGTTATATTGTATATTAATTACAAAAATACTTATTGCAGTATTCATATACTGTCGAAATATTTTTATATCTATATTAATATATCATTGAAGTCCCTCGTTATGTAGGGAAGTTATGGCAAATATTGCCCGATGTGAACGTGTTAGGATATTGTATGTGGCGTCCTATTTTAATCTATAAATGCACGGAACTTTATAACTATTCGTAATTTAATGCGCTGACTACCATGTCATCAATGGCCAATTACATTTTCCAAATTACAAGAAAATAATTATAACTTGTAGAACAAGTGATCTCGAATAAAAATGTTCAGTGGCGTAAATAATTAGATAATAGTGTAACATAAGAGTTCTGATTCCAAATAATTTATAATTTTTGTTCACCTTTGCTACAGAAAGTGTAAACGATACATAAACCGTTGATATTCCGTTAGTTCTACTAGCTTCACCAGCTTTTATAAGACAGTTATTTGGCACATTTTTGTGTGGAAGATATGAAGGTCATTAGCATTTTTTTTCCAGTAAAATTATGTAATTATTTTTGTATAGTGTGTTGGATTTAAACCAATTACAACTGCCTTCTCGTCAATCACAATTACGTCCATTTGCAACGAGTTATGAAGTCTTCATAATTTCGTAAAATTAAAACGTATTGACACTTGCAATCCAACATATCACAATCCATGCTTTATAAAATTTTTAGTTATAGATCATTTCTGTATACTTAATTTAACCTTGAACCACAGAGTACGATCCGAATCCTTTGTTGTCACTGGGCAAGCGTCGAAGGCAAACCTCGGTGTCAACCGAAGATAAACGATCAACCAGCAACGTTCAAACAACGACCCCGATAAGCACAAACAATTCGACACACACTATTACCTCTACAACGTGTTGTTATGTCTCGTCGTCCGATGGACAGTCGCTGGAACGACCCAAGTCCGATGACGTGGACGCGAAAGATTTGGAAGAGTATCGCGAGAGGAAACGCATGAAGAAGAGAAGGAGGGACAAGCTGAAGAGATTGCAGGAAGCTCAGGAAGGAAAGAAAAAGCATAAAAAGCACAAATGTTGCGAAGAACACAGAAAGCATAAGCATAGAAAACATCGAAAACACAAGCACAAACATAGCCACCACAGCAGCAGTCACAGCGATGGAAGCCATGTCAGGTTTGTTCTGTTCTAAAATTAATAACTCGATGAAAGTCCCATGAATCGTCGGTTAATCGCATTGAATTTTTCACTTGGGCTTTATTAGAATTTTCCTATTAATTTATCATAAAAAATAAGATTAGTATTCATTAGTTGTTGTTAATTAAGTTCTTTCAAATTTAAATACTTCCTTAAATAGGGAATTGTGAGATATCGGGGGATATCGTTTCGTATACTATGCAAGTTTATAATTTATAGAATATATAAAAGATTTAAATAATATTACAGTGAACCTTAGATAATTCCAGAAACTTATAATTTTAAAAACAAGGGGACAGTTTTTGTTCATATCGAATAAACAAACTACCTTCATTTATCGACTCGAGTAACAAAATATTTTGAGTTCACATTATTCGGTCAAATAACAATATCAATGATATTTTCACCTTTTACATGGTATTTTTAAATATCTTCCAGCAGTGGAGAAAGTTGCTGCGGTCAAAAAAGCGAAGAGGAAGCAGTGAAAGAAGTACCAGTGACTACGGTCGACAAGGAAGACGTAGGAACCGAAGATGAGCAAGTACCACAGGAAGAGGTTATAGAGCTCAGTTCTGAACAAATCAAGGAATCTGTTCGCGAGGAAAAGCATGAGAAGCCCAAGAAATCGGATAAAAAGTCGAAGATTCGGGAACGACAGGAATCGGTGGAAAGTCGGAGTAAAATGGCTGCCTTCTTGCCGGCCAGACAGTTATGGGGATGGGCTGGAAAAGGTTATAGAAGACCTGGTGCTAAAGGAAGGGCCAAGAAACAATTCTTCAGAGCGATTCAACGGGGAAGCGAAACTATTCAGATTGGCGACAGCGCAGTATTTTTGTCGACCGGCAGACCGGACAGACCTTACATTGGCCGTATCGAGTCTATGTGGGAAACTTCCAGTTCCAATATGATCGTGAAGGTCAAATGGTTTTATCATCCCGAGGAGACCGTTGGATGCCCGACAAACTTAAAGTACCCGGTGAGAATGCGATTGTGGACATCTTTCTTGATTTTCGATTTTCAACGAACTGGTAGATGCGCTAAGGAAATAAGTTTAACAATATTTTTATCGAAAATGCCAAGAGATAATCTTTAAAATTTTAACCGGTAATATGGACCTCTTATGATCGGTCTTGATTTTTCATTGTGAGTTTTCTGAAAATCTGAATATTTTTAAGATACTTATTATTAGCTCTAAGATAATACACGAATAAAATTTTAACCGAATTTTCATATCATTATCAATCGCATTTTTTCGTTCACCGGCTAATAAAATAACAATTGTTCTGTTCAGGGCGCGCTCTTCGAATCCCCCCACATGGATGAAAACGACGTACAAACAATCTCTCACAAGTGCGAGGTGCTACCACTTGGAGAATATACGGATAAGCTAGGTAAAGAACCACACAGGTACCTAACTATCTACGACAATAACGACATATATTATTTGGCGGGTTACTACGACCCAACCACGTATCTGTTGACTATGCGGCCGGGGGTTGTTTGAGAACAGCTAAAGCTGACGATTAAGCTAACTGGTGTTACTTAATTGTCGTCAGCAATTTGAAGAAATAAATGCGAAAAAACCGAGAAACGCCACACAGTTGAAGCGTGTCGTTTGCGGCAACGAGGGTTTAGACTCCAGCCGTCATCGAGAGATCGCCGGGTGATTTCAGTGCGGTGAAATTGCGCGAAACGTCGCAAGCAAGCTAAAGATGCTTAGCTTACGGACATTGCAGAACTTTTGGAACGTTCAATGAATCGTACAACTGTACTTTCGACGAAACTTGTGAGTTTCAACCGCAAGGCACAAGCATTGTTTAACACTGCAGTAAACGAGACACTTTGTTTGCTTACGTTAACACCGATTTTTCTTTTCCTTGCGATCACACCATCGTTGGTTTGCATTTAATCGAGCCGGATGAATGCGCAACACAGATCAGCGGTCATTGATTAATCGAGACTATTATCTTGCGTTTTTCGTATGTACTTCGTTTAATTTAACAATGAATGTCTTTACTTCACCGATGAATTTCCAACCGGAAGACACAGTTCTCACGAACACGCAGTTATTCAGTTATCTTGATTCGCAGTGCGAAGATTGCCGAGATGAACGGGTTACGAGCAAAATGTTTCGAGCGTTTTAACACGTGCAATGAAGAGATGTTTCATTGTCCATGAAATATATATCAGAATACCCGGTATTGTGATAGTTTTATATACGATACACCGGTGGGTTGACGATCGCGTCAAGGATTCGATCGTCGCAGGGATTCGAATTGAACGAAGCTGGCGTACGAGAAGCAGGAGGCTTGTGCCTTGTGTAACAGAGTCAAAAACAGAAGCGTCCTAAACGGGTCGCTGTTTATCAATATTTCTGTGACACTTGTATTTCGATGGATGATTAACAAACTGCTGGAGAGAGCAGACACAATTTCGAATACATAAAACATTACGTATAGGAGAGATGCAATAAGTATACCGAGTGGCATTACGACAACGCGAAAGAAGCTATAAAGACTCTCGATTAAAGAATGTTTTATTGACTGTGTATATAATACATATTATAGAGTATATGGATGTTGTACATAAACGTTAAATATCTTAACTATAAAGAAACTCGCCTCTAATTGTTAATCGTTAGACCGGTGTTATATAATACTATCGTCCGACCGCAAGAACAAAATGGCGACCGAAAGATTTCCGCGTGGACATTTTTCGTCGGATCTCCGCGGAGCGAAGAAGACGTACGTGTTGTCAAGGTATCGAACCCCGAGTTTTCCAAATAGAGACTCTTTCCTTTCCAATACTCTCGCGTTCCACGCATACACACAGGGATAACAGTATATGTATGTACTTAGATTAAGAACCGCCTGCTCGCGTCTATCCCTTCGGTACTTCATTGTGGTTCGCGTGTTATCCAGTCTTCTGAGGGAAGATCGCGGGAACGGTCGATCGACGCGAGCTGGCGTCCCTTCTCTTTTTATTTCCGAGCAATGTGAAAAGGAAAAACGCGAATGAACAGGCTCTACCGAGAGTTGAGTCGTTCACGAGTCGAAGGGACTAAGCGATTACTGTATGTTTTTGATGCTGAAAATGTACCGAATTTCGATGCCGAAATATTCGACTGAATTCACGCGTATTGTGTGTAGAAACGAATTAGACACCTTTTAACTCGAAGAATCATCAATCCATTTTATGTTTAGACGTTTCCCAAGTATTTTGGGATCTCTCGAATTCGGTCTCAAAAATGGCACTGTAAATTTCTATTAAACAAGCATCAAATTGGTTTCTACACCTATAATTTCATCGAATATTTCTCGTTTCGCGGAGCGAATCGCTTTGGCGAATGAACGGCTCAGTTATCGCTGGTGATACGAGACAAGGTGCTACACACAACCAGTTCGCGTGTTGTACCGTTTTCAAGAGGATGTTTTAAGCCCTCCCGCGATTTACTTCGAGCATTGATTCGATATTGACTGCGGGATTAAACGGTGCAGAACTTGTTAGCGTTAAGGCCTTCTTTCTTTTCTTTTTTCTTTTAATGTTTCCTCGGCGAGCTTGCTTTCTCCCGTACTCGGGAAACATTGTTCTTTTCTCCGCGCTGAAGGGAACCGTTCCTCGGAAGAGGAAGAATATACACGAACATAGTACTCCCCTGACTCGAATCCTCACCGACTTTCGACTCGCGCCATTCCACGCGAATGGCCCGCGTAGCTTTCGTTTCTCTCGCGCTCCGTGTTTCGATTCTCACGCGTTAGGCCGCTTTCACGCGATGATACACGTATTTATGCGATGCACGTGGCCGATATTAGCCGTTCGGCGTCACGGGGCTTCGAGAAAATTTTATCGAAATGTACCGAGCGACGCGAAACTCGAGAATTGACAAAACACAAGATTACGGTAGAACCCTTTATAATGCTATTAATAAATCGTCGAAAAATAACTATGAAAGTGAGATTTTCTATAAGAAAGTGATACAAACTGAGGATCAACTTAATACAAGTTGGACCAATATTTAAAAGAGGAATTTCACGCGAAATTTGTAAACGTGAAACCCTATAACGCGGAATATTTTAATTGTATTATAGGGGGTTGTATTGTATGCTTTCGTAATACAATATTAAAAATGATAGGCGGTATGATTGCGCTGTTTTTCTATCTCTGAGTAGAAAATAAGGAGAAATAAAGAGAAATAAATGAAAAGAAAAATAGATACACTCGATTCGACTCTGTGGATTTGATAGGCTGGCACTTTTAGGTACTAAATAGGATGCAATATGTGTGTATGATACACGCTGGGGAATGAAATATATTTCTTTTGATCTTCTATCAATTATTCGTGTTTTAGTGATTACTTTACTTACTGAATGACTTAATTATTTTAGTGCCCATACGACTACGTCTTGTATCACGCAGATTCAAAACCGAACGTTTTCAATTTTTACTTTGTTATTTTATGTTATGTTAACTAAACAATTAAACAATATCAAGATTAGAAAGAAATAGTTATTGATTCATAGTCTGAACAAATATAGTGTTATTTGTGACTGTCTTATTTCAAGAAGCAGCTTAATAATTTTCTTTAAACAATAAACTCGGAAGGAATTATTAGATTATGTTACTCAAGACAATTTGTTGTCTCAAGATTTTAATTTCTATTATTATTGGAAGACTATTAAAAAATTCTCAAGCATTGACTATCAACGATTAATCATTCAGCAACCACCGACGAGTAAAGTGTTAATCGTCATTTAAACGGTTCCATTGGTTTATATACTGGTCCACGAAAGTCTTTAGAATCGATATACAGTAAGGCTTTGTTTAACACTAAAACTACCGAGCAGTTAAATTGACTTTATGAGATTCCTGTATAGGAACTGTGAGGGTGCATCTGTTGAGACTTTACTTGATTTACAATTCAGTTTGCATATTGCTAAATTCATTGCTTTAATAATGTCTCAGAACAACATTTGTTACCTTTTTAATCATTGCAAAAGGAAGAAATCAGGAATGGGTAATTTTGACTTATTTGGTATTTTTAATATTAATGCAGGAGATACGTTCCAAAAAACCAAGTACTAGTTGAAATAGAACGAGGTAATCTTAACGCATTCGCGACCGTCAAATTTGCTGCTTTTCTAATATTCATTGCCGGTTAAAGTGCATCAACAGAAAGAACAGAATTTGAAAAACTAATGTATCATACTGAAACAGTGATAAGCGAGGTTTTACTGTATTTAAAATCGATATATCCATAACGGAAATGTGCTCACTGTATGGTAAATATTTTGAAATTTCCGTATGATGTTTGGACTACATTTGAGAATGTGTTGAAATTTCATTGAAATCAGATAACACTTGGCTACGTCCATTTCTATTATAAATGTATCGATTAAAAAACAATAGGCCTCCTATAACGTGATTAAAAAATCGAGAAATAACTATGAAAGTTAGATTCTCCATAAGAAACTGAGACAAACAAAGAACAAACTTACCTTTTTGCACTCGAAGGTTGTTTCGCCCGGTATATTCATCAATTCCTAATGGAATATTAATACAGACATTTATTATGACTAATATAAATACAAATGATACACGAATGAAAGGAAAACAATTATTCTATTCCGACATTTCATTTATATGACATATTTATTTTTTTAGATACACATGTAATTGTTCTTTGTTTTGCTACAGAGTTTTGTCAGAATATATTATACGTACATTTGCACCACTTTTGGCGAGCATATACTTCATTGCTTAACGTTATTACTCGTGCAGTGAGAGACTTTTTAATTGTGCAATTCTGCTATGTTAAACCAAATGGCGACTGATAGTGGCCTCTCAAATGCAAAGGGTTAATACAAGTTGGACCAATACTCAACAGAGTAATTTCACGCGAAATTCATAAACGTGAAGCCTGTAGTATAATATTCGAATCGCGTTATAGGAAGCTCTACTCTACTTTTATGGACCAGTATACATTCGGTGTCTACCATACGTGTATCGTCTGTCATACGTGTATACGCGCGAAAGCTGTGAGCATTTTCGAACGACACCGATGAGAAACATCTTCACCGCTCGTGAGACGAGGCGAGGCACGATCGTAGTACAAACTGCAGTTTTAATAATCGACCATGTTTGTCTCGGCGTCGACTAACGGACGCGACGACGATAAATGTACTTATAATACATATATGTATATCGTGGCGCGTGTAATCCTTCGCAGTGTACAATATTCTCTCGATTAGTACCCAGTCGAGTAGTTGTAATATGATACATTGTTCAGTGACAGCAGATATCGGCGAGACAATATTAATGCAATTATAAACCTTTTTTATAAAGATGTTTTTGCAAACGAAACTTTCACAAACGCATTCGTGAGATTCTTTTGACTAAAACAAGACCAAACATGACATACTTTAAGTCACAATTTACTAGAAGAAAATAGATTATTGTAATTTATTAAATAAGTAAATATGTCCCAAAATATATCGTGTTTGGTCTCCTTTTAATCAGGAAGACCTTACAGTTCAATTGGAAAGAATTCCAATTAGTACAAGTGAAAAATAAAAAGGTTTAACGTCGCATTAATATCCCCTCGTTCATCTGTTTCTTTTGATCACACAGCAACCAGAAAAACTCTGCTTGGATCGTATCTCGACTTCGAATCAACACAACTGAACGATTAATGCTCGGTTGTAGTTCCGATTTTCGGATGCCAATCGCGAGAATACAGTAAACGGTCGAATAAGAATTCTTAAGGTAGCCGCGAGTCGGGTAGATGCAGCGATCAATAAATTACGATCTCCATTTTTAACGCGCGTTCAAATATCTTTAGCGGTAACTGACGGAATCGAATTTTGTCAGATGAAATTGGGGGCGACAAGGATTTTGCCTTGTAGCCAGTATCAATCGCGCACGCCGTGTGCCGTCCGTTGCAGCGAACCTGGCACTCGTGACGTTATAGAGGTGGATACAATTACTCCGAGAAATCTAATTACGAGTCCGGAAACGGTTCTCCCCACTCTTTATCGCTCGACCCGATTAATGGGCGTGTGCGCCTCAACGAATTATATACCAAAACCGAAAATTCGTGTGAGCAAGACGCACGCCTTAGAACCTGATCACTCAAACGAGAGTGCCAGGTTCGCTGCAACGGACGGTACCGTTTGCATGTTTCACGGTATTTCCGTCGTTTCCCCGGGGATCACTTCGCATTGACTTTCTCTCGACGCTTCGATCCTGTGAGAAGCTGCTTATACGTAGATCTACGTAGAGAAGGCATGTTTGCTTGTAGATTTGTAAATACCGTAGATTAGGTGGAATTTAAGGAAATGTCGGTGTCCTCGGTCGTTTTCTTTTTATACGTGTCTTGGTCGGGTTTATCGTTCGTTCGGCGCACGGATGCAACTTCCGGGAAGCTGGCTCAGACAAATCATTTCTGGAATCGGTATCGATTGATTTCTAAGTAGATCTAGAAAGGTTTTCGTCAGACTACGGGTGTTTATGCAGTTTTTAAATTTGGAAACTTGGTGACTGGGTTAATTAGACTGGGTGTTTGTGCAGTTTTGGGAAATTTGAGATTAAAATTAGATTGATAATCAATGAGAACTCAAAATTGCACGGTAGTCACATGATAAGATGTGATTTGTAAAAATCATATGTAAAATGTCTAATGTATAATAATTTTTATAATAGTTCTTAGGGAAAACTATTTTCTATTGTAATATTAATTGTTCAATTATATTCTTGAAAATTTGAATTTGCATAAAGATCCGAAGCCTAGGTATGATATTTTATTTGTTGTTGGTGTTTTAGCGAAGTTTTGATCGAAAAAAATGTGCAATTTATTCGGTAACTGGATCGTTTTGAAACTATAATTGAGTTGTTTATTTTTTCACCGTTCTTCAGTATGTTAGTTGTCTGTTTTACCTGAGAATTTATGAAATGTTCTCAACACTTTACCTACTTAATGTCTGCAGCACCTGAAAAAAGACACTAAAAAGACTTTTAATTAGAAATCTGGAAGGAAATTACTGCACTACGTGTTTTGGGATAATTTGTTAATTTGTAATTCTAATTCTTTTATTTAAAACTAAATGAAGAAATCCTTAATTATTAATTATTCATTTTTAACAGACCGGTCACTTCTATGTTAGCAATCAATGTTTGTATTTATTCAAACCTTAGCAATATTTTTCGTAAATTTTAGACATACAATATTAAAAAAAAATAAACATTGGAAGTGATGTTATCAAATTTTTATAAGAGCGTAATAAATTGTATAGACAAAAATAGAAAAGTGACCTAGTTTCTAATAATGGAGTTAAATAACTTCCAATAGGTACAGTGTTAATAACAGTATAAATAAAACCAAGGAACCGAACCTTCCTTTGTGATCATACGTATTCACAATTATTTCACGCGAGAATTGATGCCATAACATATTCATCTTACAAACAACTTCACTAAAATTTCATTCACTCAACAAACAAATGAACCTACCATTCTCTGGAGAATTGTTTTCGCGACCGGTACAAAGTCGCATATGACCGAATCCTCAGACACTCCGGAGCCTTGAAGCGTTTTGTACATAATTCCGATGGAAGAACGAACGGCAAGATGAACTACTGAAACGAAACGGACGCCGATATTTCGCGGCGACATGTATTTTCCCCGGAATTCGCTACAAAGATCGAGGCGCGTTTTGGAAAGCTACGGAGAGAACCGTGTCCTTCAAGGAAAAACTTCCCCAAGCGTGAAGTTCGTCTTTGTCCTGGCAAGATTCGAAATTCGAGACTCGGTGAAACATTTTTCTAAGCGATAAGTGTATACCGTTCGAACTAGTCTAGCCGCCTATTGTAAGGGTAATTTTTAAGCGTGCGATTGTCGGCTGACGGATGGACGAAAGGTTCGTGTTTTTGCGTCCCGACGACACCGATAACCTGAGCTTTCTCTCGTTATCATTATCGTCGTTGCTTTCGTTTTCTTTTTTCTCTATACATTGGACACCGACATTATTCCCCGACAGACGGTTTTAACATGAGAAAAGAGCGTTTCGTCGATCCAACACCGCGAACGGAAAAGGGGACACCGTTTTGTTCGAGACGTTGTCGCGTCAGTCGATCGCACGAACCTCGAGTGCATCGGATCGAGAAGGAATGATCGATCACGCGGCGGTAAACGTGAGATGCGATTGTAGTTAGCGTTATACGAGAAGAAAGGTATAGAAATCTGTATATTTTACGAAGTAAGAGCGCGCGGATGACTTAAGGAGCCGAGCGCGAGGAGGAAGAGAGAAATACTTACACAAAACACGGGAAAACAAAGATGAGAAAGAATATTTTATTCTAGAGAATCGAAATTGTTCTATTTTATTAACGGAGAATACGCGGATAATCGATTTAACGTGTAGACCGAGAATTCCGAGGCAAGGAACCGAGTAAATATAGTAAGGTAAACAAAAGAAAAAAAAATTCATAAAAGCAGCATATGAAATGTCAAAAAAAGAATATCTATATATAGATATATAAGTAAATAAATATATATGAGAAAATGTATGTATATATGTATGTATACCTGCATATTATATATATATATATATATATATATATATATATATATAT